GTTGGGCTCCCTTGGGGGCCTCTTGGAGTCTTCTAGGGGCGTCTAGGGGCGGGAAGCTTGAATGATCGGTTCGTTTGCATCTCTGGGGCTCCGCGTTGGGCTGTCTTGGGGCCCTCTCGCGGAAGCCTCTTGGGCTGTCTTGCGCGCACCCCTGGGCTGTCTTGGGACCATCTGGGGAACGCCTTGGGCGCCTCTGGGGCCCTCTTGGGTCGGTCTTGGGGGGTCACTGGGCCATCTGAAACATTCGGAATCCGAGCAGGGGAGAACCGAAACACACACACACACACTGAAAAACACATGGGAAGTCTATGTTTGCCTCTTGGGGCCCTCTCGGGGGGCCTCTTGAAACCCTCTTGGAGCGTTTTGGGGGCGTTTCAGGCCGTCAAGAAGCCGTTTTGGAGCGTCTTGGGGTTGTTGCGGGCCTCCCGGGATGGTTCGCTGCTTCGCGGCACGTCGGAACGACTTTTCCGCCTCCCAGGGGGCGCCTTGGCAGCCGTCGTGGGGCCCTCATGGGCCGTCCTGGGACCCTCTTAGAGGCCTCGTCGGCTATCTTAGAGCGGTCTTGGAGGCCTCTTGGGCCGTCTTGGAGCGTCGGAGTGCCAAAAGGCTGAAAACTGGAAAATCCGTAAATAACTTACAGAGAGAAAATAAGATTTGCCTCTTGGGGCCTTCGTGGAAGGGCTCTTGGAGCCTTTTGGGCCCTCTGGGGAGATTCTTGGGGGCCTCTTGAAGCCTCATGAGAGCCTCTCGGGGTGGAAGGCTCGGATTCTCACTTCGTGTTACCCCTCTTGGCCCCCTCCTGGGGCCGTCTTGGGGCCGTCTTGGGCGCCTCTGGCGCCGTCTTGGGACCCTCGTAGGTCGTTTTGGGGCCGTCTTCGAAGCCTATGGGGCTGTTTTGGAGCGGACACTGGGGCCTCTTGGGCCGTCGTGGAGCGTCGGGAAACTGAAAAAGGGAGAACTCGAAAACCTTCAAAAAAAACAACAGAAAATCGGTGATGTTTGCCCCCTGGGGCTCCTTGGGAGGCATCTTGGAAGCCTCTTGGGGCGTCCTGGAGGCCTGTGGGACAATCAGGGGTTAATTCTCGTGTAATCTCGGGCCGTCAATGGTCGTTACCGCGGTCTGGAAGCACGATTTCTGGCGATCTGGGGCCGTCTCTGAGAGCCCCCGGCGCCCAGGCAGGGCCCCCAAGGTCGGATCCCCCGTCTGGGCCCCTCCTTCGAGCTGTCTTGAGGCCCTCCTGGGCCGTCTTGGAAGCCTCTTTGGCCGTCTTGGAACCCTCCGAGACCATCTTGGGGCCGTCTCGGGGGCCTCTTCGGCCGTCTTGCAGCGTCGGGAAGACGACAATGGAGAACCCAAGAAACAGTCAAAAACAATAGAAAAGAAACACTTTTTGATCCGCGGGTCGAGAGCGCACCTCTTCCGGTCGAAGCTAAGCGGGCCGCGCGAAGCTTGAATTAACCAGAAATGGGGAGGGGACAGGGGGGGCGCAGCCTCAGAACGAGGGCAGGAGGAGGCAAAGCCTCGGAAACAGGCGGTGCCGAAGCCGACGTACTTGCAAAGGAACGCCTTCTCCATGAACCCGGTGGCGAAGGACCGGTCGAAGCAAAATGCTGTGGTTGGTGCTGCCGTCTACGGCTCTTCATTTTACACCAGCCTCGAGTTGGCGGCGAGAGGTGACGCGCCTTGCAACCAAGCTGCGTCAGGGATCCGGGAGAGCGAGGGGAGCGACACTGAGACGAAGCGCAGCCCTGTGCCATCGTACAGGTAGAAGGAGCGGGTGCCACAGGGCCGTGGTGGTTCATGGTGCCACAGGTCCAGGGTACAGGAGCCGCAGAGACTGGAGGCGCGACAGTCAGGACGCTCCAAGAACATGCCACCTGTGACGACCGACAGGGTGCCGGTGCAATGCCATAGGAAAAAACACACACACACAACTTGTTTCTCTGACTGTCCTGTTGGGAAGCCATTTAGAGGCCTCTTGGGGCGTGTTGGAAGGCTCTTGGGCCGTCTTGGGTCTTGGGCGTCTTGGAATGATCGTTGGCCGTCTCGGGGCCCTCTTGGACCATCTTGGGGGCCTCCTGGGGCCGTTTTGGAAGCCTTTTGGGCGTCTTGAGGCCCCTTGGAGGCGCCGGGGAGCGGGTATTAAAAAAGGGGGCCCGATGTCACGGAGGTGGGCGGGCCGCTTTTCAGGAACGGGGGTATATGTTTATATGGTATATGTTAATAACGAGGTGGTTAATTACATGTTTGCGTTGTGCCATGTAGGTGGTGCAATCTAAGTTGTGCAGTCTTTGCTGTGCAACGGGTGATGCAACATATGTGGTGCAACCTACGTGGTCCACGAAATGTGGTGCGCTATCTACGTGAAGCGATCTACGTGGGGCAATCTACGCGGTGGTGCAATATTCCCCAACCAGTGATTGCGCTTAGGCTTTCTTCCTTGTGTTCTGAGGAACTGGGGGGGTTGTCAGTCAAGCGACTCCGTGCTCGCCGTCGCCGCCCCGTCGCCGCCTCGTCGCCGCCCGTCGTCTGGGAGGGGGGGTCGGTCTGGCGGTTCCTTGCTCACCGTCGCCACCCCGTCGCCGCCCGTCGCCTGGGCCTGATTGCCGATGTGGCTGCTATGTTGTCGCCGTCGCCGCCCCGTTACCGCCTCGTCGCCGCACAAAACATCGATTGCACAAAACATAAATTGCACCACGTAGTTTGCACCACTACTCTAATCTAAAAGAGTATTGGGATGCCCCCCCCCCAGGAGTAACTGCCCCCTTCTCGTATTTCTATATATATATATATACACACATACATATAGATATACATACGATTATGTCCCATCGTCCAGCCGAGCTCTGAACCCGTACCATCCCAGGCAGGCCATTATCCGCCCCACCCCTCATCCCTTGCCAAGAATATGATGCGCGCACTCGTGGATCAAAAATCATAAGTTGACAAAAATACTTTCAAAAAACGAAGTGCACACACGCGCATCGTCGCGCGCATGCCGACATCCTTGAAAACCCTCTGGTGCCGCAAGGATTTCAAAATCGAGTGTCACGAAAAGAAATCAAACCTTATGGTTTCGCAACAAAGATGCTCACCAAAAAACCTGCGCTCGCGCTCTTCCAGATTTCTGAGAAAATCACTGTCTTTGTTTTCAAAAAGTCCATACAATGCGACCACACGGGCCTCTCGCGCGCACAAGTCAAAACCGTTCGAATGCCCTTGCGCGCGTGATGTCGCAAGAACCCCTTGCAAACAACGGGACGAAGTGCACACGCGAGCGTCGTCGCGCGCGCATGCCGAATTGCTTCAAAAACTCTAGGTATCGTAAGGAATTTAAAATCGAGTGAGCCGAAAACATATAAAAGCAAATGGTTTTGCAGCATCAGTGTTCAACAAAAAACTGCAATGCGCAACACACTGTCGGAGGTCGCATCTCGAAGAAAAACCTTCGGGCCGGCATGCCGCGAAATGGCGGGCCTCACATTCCGGAAACTACTTCTTAGCGGGAAAGAGGGCGCCCCTCTCGTTCCCCTTGCCCTTGGCCCAAAGGCAAGCTTAGATGGGTTTTGCACTCAACCTGTTTCCTGCTGCGCTGGCGTGATGTCGGGGTTTACCGCAGACAGCTAGATATGCAAACGCCAGGGCAACTCCACCAAATTATATGAGCCCCCGCCTAAAGTGTCAAGACCAGAAACCGTGCCCAAGAACACACGCAACATGTGATTCGTGTGCGAGGAAGTCATAACTTAGCAAGGCGGGAAGGAGCGGAGGGAGCAGTAAGAAGAAGAGCACCTGTATCGGAGATTGGGGGGTGAGATCGCAGTGGAACGGAGACCCCCAACCGGGAAATCGTTTCGTTTCGTTCGTGCCGTGTGTGCGGGCGAGGCGAAGCTGCGTGGGCGCGCGAGAGGAATGAACCCGCCGTTGCTAGGGCGAAGTCACGACAAATGATTCTCCCCCTCCCGCCCGTCCGGCGATCGCTCGCGGTGTCCCACGGTGTTCCGTGGTGTCCCGTAGAGTCCCGTGGTGTCCGCCGTTGCTAGGGCGAAGTAAAAACACATGATTCTCCCCTCCCGCCCGTCTGGCGGTGGCTCGCGGTGTCCCGGTGTCCCGTGGTGTCCCGTGGTGTCCGCCGCTGCTAGGGCGAAGTCAAGACAAATGATTCTCCCCCTCCCTCCCGCCCGTCCGGCGGTGGCTCGCGGTGTCCAGCGGTGTCCCGTGGTGTCCCGTGGTGTCACGTAGTGTCCGCCGCTGCTAGGGCGAAGTCAAGACAAATGATTATCCCCCTCCATCCTGCCCGTCCGGCGGTGACTCGCGGTGTCCCGCGGTCTCCAGTGGTGTCCCGTGGTGTCCCGTGGAGTCCCGTGGTGTGCCGTGGATTGAGATCGATAGTGAGATCGATAGTGAGATCGATACTGAAATAGATACTGAGATCGATACTGAGATCGATGTGGTGTCCCGAGGTGTCCCGTGGTGTCCCATGGTGTCCCAAAAAGTCAGATCGATAGTGAGATCGATAGTGAGATCGACAGGTGCCCCGTGGTCCCGTGGTGTCCCGTTGAGTGAGATCGGTAGTGAGATCGATACTGAGATCGATAGTGAGATCGATGTGGTGCCCCGAGGTGTCCCGTGGTGTCCCGTGGTGTCCCGTTGAGTGAGATCGATAGGGAGATCTACAGGTGTCCCGTGGTGTCCCGTGGTGTCCCGTGGTGTCCCGTGGTGTCCCGTGGTGTCCCGTGGTGTCACGTTGAGTGAGATCGATAGTGAGATCGATACTGAGATCGATACTGAGATCGAGAGGTGTCCCGCGGTGTCCCGTGGTGTCCCGTGGTGTCCCGTGGTGTCCCGTTGAGTGAGATCGATAGTGAAATCGATAGTGAGATCGACAAGTGTCCCGTGGTGTCCCGTGGTGTCCGATGGTGTCCCGTGGTGTCCCGTTGAGTGAGATCGATAGTGAGATCGATTGAGTCAGATGTAGGTTCCCCTCCCCCCCACTCTCCACCCCCCCCACAACCTCCTTATCACCCGAAGGGTGGTCGTATAGGTAGATAGGTATGCCAAGTCTTCAAATATCTAAAGCAACACCGTGGCCGCAATCCGCTGGTAAACTACCTCGCAGCCTGAGCCTCTTTAATGGAGAAACTGTCAGAATCGGAGGGGACGAAGGTGAGACCTGCAACAAATGCCAGGGAGCTGGAACTTGAACGACCCGGTGGGCACTGGAGATTCAGCTAAGCGAGGCAACGTATGAGAATGTGGCCGTATGCCAGGCGGCGTCGTCGAGCGCATGAGCCATTGCAACAAATTCGAAATCCAAATGAACCTGCGCTTCTTTGAACACATCTCTCCTCCATGGACATGCGCCACTTGACAGCACACAGCCGCCATATGTAGAAACTCTAACATGAGACAAAATACAACTACACGATCTGCATATCGAACCCACGAGCCCGCAGGGAGACAGCCATTGGGCGGCGGCCGGCGAAGCAGGATACGGGAAGCCAGAAGCGCGGGAGGCGAACTGGCTATCTGCAGCACTAAATGGCGAAATCGCAAGACGCCCAAACAGGCCAGTCACAGGGCCAAAAGGAAACCTCAAGATCGCGTTGGCTAGCATAGTAAAATTCGACCCACAATCTGGGACTCCCAGATTGAGGAAGGGGTCAGAAGAGCGCGTGAAGCACCACGCTGAACGGTCCCAAATACACTGGGAGAAATCAAAAGAAAATCGACCGGGATCATGCCGTGCGAACCCACCAGTCTTGGCTTTCACAAAGATAGCCTGAGAAATAGGGGAACGTCGCTCGAAGAGCTGCTTGATCCAGCGCTGTGGCCAATGGCAGCGGGAACGGCCGCATGGCGGTCTCTACTGCTGCCGCTTCCGCTGACAGTGGTCCGCTGCTGCTGCTGCTGTTGCTGCTGTCGAAGCTGCTGATGGTGCCGCTGATGGTGCCTCTGCAACAGCAGCTGCGGATTCTGCACAACACCCCCTGGATAGAGGCTTGCATTAGCCTCGAATCCCTGCAGCCTGGCGGGCACGACTGTAACCACCTTGCTCTCAGCCGCGGGAGAGGAAAGTTCGCGGCCGGTGAAGGACCACATAAATATGTCTGCAGCCTCTGGCGTTAGGAAGTTTATGAACGCAAAGCCACGGTTCCTCGTCCGGCGATTTTGGTGGGGGACATGGAAGAAGTCGTACGCAAGGCCCTCCTCGTTGACATCCCACTGCAACATCCACTGTGGGTATGAATAGGGTAGATTCACGATGGTCATTGTAGTGACTTCTTGGTCGGCGCGGCGTTCGTGTCCGCGGTCGACCTCAGGGAGGCTATGGTGGCGCACCAGCTCGGCCAGCGGCGTCTGCGCGCCGCAGGATGCGCCTGGCCGCCCCTGAGCTCGCCGTGGGGCCGGCGCGGCGGCGTGGTCTGGCGGGAGGCCCGGCCTGGCGGCGGAGGCCGCGGCCGCCGACGCCTGCACGGCGGGCCACGAGTGCAGGCCCTCGCCGCCAGAAGAGCGTGCGCCGTGGGGGCGGTCGCCCCGCGCTGCGGCCAAGACCCAGACCCCCCCCCCTCCGACGTCGTGATTTTGGTTTCGCACCCCGGGACCAGCTTGTCATCCTGAGCCGCTTCTTGACAGCCCCGGGGCCCGGCGAGGGCCCCCGGAGGCCGAAAATAGCGCAAGGCCTCCCGTCGTGATTCTGTCACGAGGCGAGGAGGTCTGGGGAGGAGCAGGTGGTTGTCCTGCGGCTGGGCGGGCTGGGCACCCACGTCCGCCGGAAGCGGCGGCCAGGCCGGGCGTGGGCGGGGCGGGGGCGGCCCACGGGGCGCGGGGTGCGGTTCGCCCGCCATCCACGGCTGTCGGCCGAAAACTGAAGGGCCAAAGTGGCTACGGAAGGCTCCAGTCAACCGCCTTGGGCTTTCCTGGGGCTCCTCGACGGCCGTTGTTGGACCATCCTAAAGCCTCAGAGGCCCTCCCCTCGGAAGCGATGAGGCGAGATCTTGGAAAACATTGACTTCACAATGGTTGTTGAAGCAGTTTCGCCTCCTGGGAAGCTTTTGGGGGGCTCTTGTGAGCCTCTTGGGGGCCTATTGGGGCCGTCTTACGGCCATCTTGAGCTCTCTCTCGGGCGGTCTGGATGCCATCTGGGGCCGTCTGGGCGGGCTCCAAGGCAATCTTGGACCCTCTGAGACCGTCTGGGGGCCATCTTGGAGGGGTCCCGGGGCCCCGGTCCAACCATGGAGGTTAGGGGTACCTTGCGTTGGCCCCCATGGACGCGTACGCCTTCAAATATATATATATACATACATACATACATACATACATACATACATCATTCCATACATCCATCCATCCATCCATACATACATACATACATACATACATACATGCATGCAGACATACATACATTACATACATTGTATACATTACATACATTACATTACATTACATTACATTACATTA